GTTCTTTGCAGGTGAACAGACAGTGGCCGGGTGTTTTGCCGTGTGCTCTCTTTGTATATATTTCTTATATTTTGGAGTCTTACTTTGTCTTTTCTTTCTTTCTATCCTATTAAAAAAAAAAAAAAAAAAAAAAAAACCTACACTAGATAGTCACTATAATAAATATTTCATAATAATGGTGTGGAGAGGATGGCTGTAAGGGGAGAAGGGAGGCCATTAAGAAAAAAAAAAACCTTTTATTTGTTTGCTTGAAATTATAGTAAAGGTGTGTCTCAGTTGAACTGTTCCTTAATAAATGCACGTTAATGGTCAAATCAGCTGCATTTCTCCTGGGCAGTGCGTTGAAAGGCAGCTATTTGATGTTTGCTCCAGGAGTTCTGGAGCGAGATGAAGGTGGCTTTGTATGGCAAGCCAAGTGTCTCATTAATAGTCAGTTTTACCTATTAATGAGACACTTGGCTTGCCATAAGGCTCTAGTTGCTGAAAATGGTAGTGTTCAATATTGTCCATGTCAGAATGAATGAAATTGTCAGATCTCAGCCAAAAATTGGGTTATAAATATGGGGGGGGCATATATTAGTCGCTTCAGTGTACAAGTTGCAGGGCGTGCAAATTTATGCAAAAGGTGCGACTTATACGGCAAAAAATACGGTACTTATATAGGTTTGGTTATATAACCTGCGGGTGTTCATGATGTAACATGAGGTATTTACACTGAAAGAGTATAAAATTTTTAAATGAGTATGTACTGGTAACATACACAAATACGTACAATAAATGTTCTTTTCTGAACAGCGTGTTTAACACAGCTGGTTAAAAAAAATCTATAACTTATAGTATTATTGTATAATGCACTTTGTTCAAAGTAGCAGCTTATCGTCTGGAAATTACAGAATATGAAACTACCAAGAAAGACTGTTCTGGTTTCAGTTCTGAGCCACAACTTGGTTTCCAACAGGTAGTTTTTTTTTCCACTAAAGAGGTCCCAGTACTGGAGCATGGGAGCTGGTGGTTGGGTCTCCAGTCCCCCATTTGAGCCTCTGCAGGAGGCTAACCTCAAACATCTGTCTATGACAGTGCTGTTGTTTGTGTGATGTCCGTAGATTTTCAGTGCACCCCTCCTGCACCAAACTTGTGTCTCACTTCAGCTCTAACCCTGCTTTTGTGCCTAAGGTTGGGGGGGTCCGTTTTCTCACAACTTTTTCTCCACCATCTTTATAAAATGCAGCTGCCAGAAAAACAACAAGAAGATAGAAATGCGAGCATGTGCATGTCTGATGGTCGTGTTGTCTTTGCCGCAGGCAGAAGCATGAGAAAGGCTTCACGGTGTGCAGTTTGGCCTGGCATCCGTCTGGCAGCCAGATCGCCTACACGGACACCGAGGGCTGCCTGGGTCTGCTGGACGGACTCAGCCCCTCCAGCACCACCACGGTACCTCCGGCCTCTCCTGCATCTCTGACTGTCTTCTTCAGTCTTTCTCTTTACAAACCATCCATAGATCGTTCACCCAGGAGAGCATTCTCCAGCTCTTTGTGCAGAAATACAAATTCAGATATCACAATGGTGATCCCAACAAATAAACAAAATGAGGTCAGAACCAAGAACTCGTGTTTCTTGTAAACAGTTAATGAAACTGACCGACTGCTCAATATATCTACAGTTTATTAAACTGTAACATGATTGTATAACTATAATTAACTCTAGTTAGAGATGTAGAAATGTTAGGTCATCTGGACGGATCCACCCTTGGCTGAAACGTCTCGTCCCCCATCTGAAAGGGCTGGTTCTGGATGTTCCCAGCAAACTGGTTTGTCCACTTTGGCGGATGCTGTTTGTGGGACTGGGTTTGTCGCATGGCCTCGGACTGGTGGGGTCTTTCAGATGGGGGACGAGACGTTTCTCGTAAAAAAACTTGTTACCAAACAAAGACTAAACTTATGCAACCAGGAGTTATAAAGCTACATAAAAATTGCTAATTCAAAAAGCGTTCAATACAAAAATAACTGGACTTTATTTGTAACGGAAGACGTTTCGCTCCTCATCCGAGGAGCTTTGAGGAGGAGCGATTCTGTTACATTCTGCTGATACTTGTTATGTTGAGACTAAATAGTTTTAAGATTCATATGATGATGGTAAACAGGCGTATTATAACTGAATCTTGTTTTCTAAAATCCATAGTTATTAATTTCATGACAAAGCATATAAAGCATCATCTTTGCTGTTATTGTTGAGCTGTTCATGATCAGTTCCTCATCGGCCTCTCAGCAGGTGTCTGCAACAAAACCTGCAAAAGACTACGACGACCTGTTTGATGAGGATGATGATGGCAGACAAATGGACGAAGGGCTGAGCGACACCAACTCTCCAGCTAAGAAGCCGGTCGTTGGTGAGGACGAGGACGATGACGACTTCCTGGTGCCGTCCACTGGGCGAGTGAGGAACAGAGCAGCCATCTTGGATGATGAGAACTCAATGGGTGAGGAAAAGAACCTGGATTGAAAGTCTGGATGAATGATAAACAAACAAACAACACCAAGTCTGTTATTAGGGTGGATTTATCCACATCGAGGAGGGGCGTGTGCTTCTACCAAAAGTTTTTCTTGTTTTAATGTGATGCATGCCATCTATACTCTAGATATACAGTAGATTAATTACATTAGGTCTTTCAGTTCACAAAACACTATAATCTTTGGAGTCAGTGTTGCAAAATATTCTGGATTAAAACGATCAGAATAGTACTTCAACAGCCAAGATTAGAGCTGCACAATGTTCCAGCCATCAGCACCAACATGACAAACAGAGACCATGGTCTAATACAACATTTCATAAGATCTGTTCCTCAGTCAACATAAGGGATAAAAAATACAGAATAAATATGAATATTGTCAGCTGTTCTTTTGATTTATGAGCATATGAGGAAAAAACAAAACAAATCAATACTCAACCTAATTCATTATTCTGCTCAACTGACTTATTTTTGTTTTAATCAATGTGGACTTTAATGTGAAAACTTTCTGGAGCGCCACGCTGGCGTTGGTTACTACGCCATCTGATGCGTTGGCTGTTCAGAAAGGAAACTGGTCGGTCGGTGTTGTGTCTCCTTGGTGGTTCTTTGACCATCAAGATCATTCAAAATGAGTTTGGCTGCCCATACAGTGGCTAGTAGGTTTTATTTTACTGAAACAATGTCAGTTTTTGCATGATTGATTATGAGAAATAAAGTTTAAAGTCATTGATTATAGATAATGCAGAGTATAGATATTATCGTGGAACAAAGTGGGGGGGGGGGTGAATAAGAAATACTGTTCATCCATCTGTGCAAGTTCTGAGAATCCATCCATCCATTATCTTTTATCCGCTTCTTCCATTTTGGGTCACGGGGGTCGCCGGTGCCCATGTCCAGCAATCACAGTGCGAGGGGCGGGGTACACCCTGGACGGGTCGCAAGTCCATCACAGGACCAGTTTTAGGAATGATGACGTTAAAAATAAACGAGGTACTGACTTCCATTTTAGTGTATGGATGCATCAGCTAACTATAGAAAATTGGGTTGCCAGATCAAAGTCCTGGTGGAATGCCCTCTCCGGGTCGGAGGAGTTCAAATATCTGGACGTCTTGTTCACGAGTGATGGTAGGATGGAGCGAGAGAAGGATCGACAGATTGGGGCTTTATCCTCACTCAGTAATGAGGGTGTTGCTTTGGTCAGTTGTGGTAAAGAAAGAGCTGAGTCAAATGGCAAAGCTCTCGATTTACTGGTTTGTTTGCATCCCAACCCTCACCTATGGTTAAGAGGTTTGGATCCTGACTGAAAGAATGAGATCCTGGATACAAGTAGCTGAAATGGGCTTCCTTCGCAGGGTGGCCGGGCTCATAGAGAGGGTGAAGGAGCTCCGTCATCCGGAGGGGTCTCGGAGTAGAGCCGTTGCTCCTCTGCATCGAAAGAAGTCAGTTGAAGTGGTTTGGGCATTATTAGGATGCCTCCTGTGTGCCTCTTTTTGGAAGATTTTGGAGCATGTTCCACTGGTAGAAATGCACGAGGAAGACCCAGAAAAGACTGGAGGGATGGTGTATCTTCTCTGGCCTGGGAAAACATCGGGGCCCGCCAGGACGAGCTGGAAAGTGTTGCTGGGGAGAAGAATATGTGTGTTTCCCGTGTTTGCCTCTGCGACCCAACTACAGATAAGCAGTAGAAGACGGAAGACTTCAAAATCAAAGATGGCCACCACCATATATATGTAAACTTCATCGAAGTCCTCCAGATAATACAGGTTGAATGAATGAAAAGATGGGAGACAAAACGTTTCTCACTTAAAGAAACTGGTCGGAATTATTGCCACCGAACTGTCTGTATTTTAACACACCGCGGCCATCAGGCCGGCGTGGTGGTGGATTATTAACAATATTCAAATCAACTTTTGACTGTAAACAACTGCCCATCCCAGTTTCCTGCGCCAGCTTTGAGCTGAGCGTCTTTGAACTCGGCCATTCGCCTTCGACTATATGCGCACTCGATTACCGCCCACCTCGCTCTAAGGATTTCATAAATGAGTTTTCTGATTTCTTGGCTGAAATCACACCAAAATATGAGCATGTTTTCATTATTGGGGACTTTAATTTGCACGTGTGCTGTCCGGAGAAGCTCTTGGTTAAGGATTTTTTAGATTTATTGGACTCATTTAATTTAACTCAGCATGTAAATGGTCCCACCCAAGAGCGCGGACATACACTGGACCTTGTTTTAACTCATGATGTGACTGTTAATAATCTTGAAATTGGTGATGATGTTTTTTCAGACCACATGCCAGTCCGGTTTGAGTTCACCCTCCCCCATCTAACTCTTAAGTCGTGCATTCCTGCACGTAGGACTCAGACCATTAACCACTTCACTGCTGCACGTTTCACAGATGTTTATAACTCTGAAATGATAATTCAGCCCCCAGTGTTTCTCACCACCACTGAGGAGCTGACATCCCAGTTCAACTCTGTGTGCTTAAAGACTCTGGATCATGTTGCTCCTGTTAAAATTAGAAAATCAAAACTGAGAGCAGAACCGTGGCTGAGTGACATCACCAAGACCGTTAGGCAGCAATGTAGGAGGGCGGAGCGAAAGTGGAGGAAAGACAGGCTGCAGGTCTCTTTTCAAATACTTAAGAGATTTGGCACCGTTATCAGAAAGTAGTAAAAGCTGCTAAATCCAAATACTTCTCTGATATAATTACCTCAAACTCTCACAACCTATGTGTCCTCTTCTCCACCCTAAACTCTGTTCTCCACCTCACTGAACCATCACCTCTGGAAGCCTCGACTGAGCTGTGCAACAACTTCTTACATTTCTTTTTGGAAAAAATTGCGACCACCAGGGCTGTCATTTCCCCTCCAACTCATGACCCATCCATCCCACCTCAATCTGTAGCTCCTTTTGACCATTTTGAACCCATCACTCTATCTTCTCTAGAGCAGGTCATGTGCAGCTTGAAACCTTCTGGCTCCCCCTTTGATGTGGTCCCCCCTCGACTACTAAAGGAGGTGTTTCCAACTCTAGGTCCGTCCATTCTTGATATAGTAAACAGTAGTTTATCCACTGGTGTGGTGCCAAAATCCTTTAAACATGCTGCTGTCCAGCCTCTCCTGAAAAAAACAAACCTTGACCCCTCAGTCGTTTCCAACTTCCGGCCTGTCTCCAAACTCCCATTTGTTTCTAAAATACTGGAGAAAATAGTTGAGTCCCAGTTAAAGTGCTTCCTGGAGGATCACGCCATCTTAGAGCTATTCCAATCTGGCTTTAAACCTCTCCACAGCACTGAAACTGCCATATTGAAGGTTTTTAATGACATCTTCAGATCCAATTCAATTCAGTTTATTTATATAGTGCCAAATCACAACAAAGTTGTCTCAGGGCACTTTACAGGAACATTCACATAAAAGCCAATTAGTAAAGTTCTCTAAGGAATCCAGCAGACAAGTTGAATCTTGGCTTCGTTGCAGTCTCCCATCCTTATGGGATCTGATCTGACCACAGATACTGGTGATTCTGTGCTGCTTGTCCTGTTGGATTTCACAGCCGCCTTTGACACCATCGACCATGACCAAATTTCTTAAGTTTCAATGAAAAGAAGTCTGAAGTCATGTTGTTCCCTCCCAATGACACTATCACAAACCACTGCATCGACCTCTCCACTCTAACCCTGTCAGAAAAACAAAGAGTCACTAATCTGGGTGTGATAATGGACCCTTCCCTGAAACTTAACAATCATGTAAACATGATTGTTAAATCATGCTTCTTCCAACTGAGGCGGCTGTCTAAACTGAAGCCCATATTGTCCAAAAAGAACCTGGAGACAGTAATACATGCATTCATTACATCTAGGCTTGATTACTGCAATTCGCTCCTGTTTGGTATCAGTCAGACCTCCATTGCACGATTACAACTTGTCCAGAATGCAGCAGCCCGATTTTTAACCAGTACAGGCAAAAGAGAGCACATTACACCAGTTTTGGCCTCACTGCACTGGTTACCGGTTCACCTTCGAATCCAGTTCAAAATACTCCTGTATGTCTACAAATCGCTGAACAGTTTCCCCCCCCCCCCTGATTTCCTACAACCGTATATCCCACCACGTTCCCTGAGGTCAGCGGACCAGTTGCTCCTCACAGTTCCAGGAACTCGTCTTAAGCGCAGAGGTGACAGGGCCTCCTCTGTATCTGGACCAAGACTTTGGAACGAGTTACCTCTGCTTGTCAGACTGGCCCCCTCCCTCTCGGTTTTCAAATCCCGTTTAAAAACTCACTACTATTAAGTAGCTTTCAACACCAGATGATCTGTGTTTTGAACCTGTACGCTCCACACTGGTTTGTCGTCATATTTATTATCTGCATCGTTTTTATGTCTATATTTTTGATTTACTTCATTTTGTATATTGTTTCGTGTGTTGTCTGTTGTTCTGTCTGTACAGCACTTTGGTTGGCCTTGTAGCTGTTTTAAGTGCTCTATAAATAAAATGGTATGGTATGGTCCAGATGACATGATTTAACCTTTTTTGTTGTTATCTACCTGGATGATAGAGCTTACAAACATTTTGTTTAAAAGTATAGTGTGCTCATATATGATTGAGGTGGCCAAATATTATTCTAATTAGTCACCCTCTGACTCCACCACTGCACCTGGTGGTGGATTAAATTGCTCCATTCACCTGCAAGTATCCGTCACTGCACTATCCGTCACTGCACTGTCTCGAACAAGAAAACAAAAACTACTTCTGTTCTTCTACACGGTGCAACTCCAACCCATTTGGCAGCATGACGGCTCAGTGGTTAGCACTGTTGCCTCACAGCAAGAAGGTCCTGGGTTCAATCCCTGGTTGGACCTTGGGTCTTTCTGTGTGGAGTTTGCATGTTCTTCTTGTGCTTACATGGGTTTTCTCCTGGTTCTCCAGTTTCCTCCCACAGATCAAAAGCATGCATGTTAGTCTGCCTTCAGGCCCAGGCCTCCCTTGCAAAAGAGATCTGTGATCTCAATGGGATTTACCTCGTTAAATAAAGGTTAATAAATAAAATTTAATTATCTTGCACCAAAAACATTGAGGTTACTTGCATTCCCTGTTCATTTCCTGTAGAGAACGATGCTGATCTTAAAAACTGCAAACATTCACTGTTCAAATCCCCCAGTGATGGGGAACATCAGTGTACTGCTTGTTTTACCCGTTTTTATGGGGGTTGTTTAAGCTTCAACTCCCCCTCGTAGTTCCACCCATGGTTGTACCAATTGAATACTACTTTTTGTACTTCCTAAATTCATAGTGGCAGACATAATGAAGTAGGCAACAGTTTTTAAAGATTGATTGACCCTGGTGAACCTGGATATTGCTGCTGCTGCTTTGCTCTTCTTCAATATTAAACTAGCATTTTATTCCATCCTGTTTGTTTTGACCATCTTTATTCTCTCTTTGGTTTGATGAAATATTCTCACAGAAGCTGATAAATGTTACAGTCAACCTGCATTGTTCGGGTTAAAGAAAAACAAATACACGTTTATTTGTTTTGCAGACACAGGATCTCTAAAGCTCGGTCAAGACAAATTCAGGGATGATGATGATGCAGGCAGCACTGTGGCCCCTGACACCGTTCCTCTGGTCCCACTGCACCCCGTGTATGAGGGGCCGCTGCCGACCCCTCCCCAGAAGGCCTTTCAGCCAGGCTCTACCCCCGCCCACCTCACACACCGCTTCATGGTAGAACCATTTCTAAACTTGATGTTTAAGATGTCGATTTCTGTTTGTGGTGTGATGACCAAACTTTATCTTAGATGTGGAACTCTGTGGGGATTGTGCGAGGCTACAATGACGAGCAGGACAATGCCATCGACGTGGAGTTTCACGACACGGCCGTTCACCACGCCATGCACCTCACCAACACTCTGGGTCACACCATGGCTGAACTGTCTCAGGAGGCTGTGCTGCTGGCCTGCCCCGGCACAGATGAGCTTGCCAGGTGAGTCTCCAGGGCTTCGGTGATTTGAGTTCAACTTTCCAGAATAAATCTCTCAAACAACCGGTGTCCTTCCAGTAAGCTGCAGTGCCTTCACTTCTCATCATGGGACACAAATAAGGAGTGGATGGTGGACCTGCCAAAGGGTGAGGATGTAAAGGCGCTGTCTCTGGGACAGGGCTGGGCTGCAGTCGCCACCAGCACATTGACGATCAGACTCTTCTCCATCGGAGGAGTCCAGAGACAACTCTTCAGTGTGCCGGGACCCGTGGTGTGCATGGCCGGACACGGAGAGCAGCTACTCGTGGTCTACCATCGAGGTCAGTCACACACACACTCACTTGCTCGTTCACTGACATGGGCTCTCACTCACTCTAAAGACTCCAGTATACTCGGGCGGACATTTTTCCGGGCGGACTCGACGTGCACTGTCTGCAGATTGTTGAGACTTCATACTTGAACGTCCACCCTGAGCGGCTGCGGAGCAGCTCCGCAGACAAGGGGCATTTACCTTCAGGACAAATTGAGGTCGCCGATTGGTCATTTGCTGACACGCCTACTGGATTGATTGACAGGTCGCAAAAAAAACGAGAGCTGGCAGCGTTGTTCTGTGTTTATTTGTTGTTAATAAAAAATTCTAAATAAAAAAAAAAAAAAACAGCCCTGCAGCCCACACATCAGACCAGCCCACCAGGAAATCTCCAGACCCTCCCGCAGCCACGCTGGACCTGATTTTAATTCTCTCGTGACAAATTCCTTCATTTCTCACCATTTCAGTCATGGCGTCAACGGAGGAGGAAGAGATCGCTTGCCTCTTGGGAAAAAAACGAAAAGAAAAGGCCATTAAACCAGACCACGGATGAAGAAGGGGAATTTAATACATTGGTGTCACATACAAAACAGTCTGTCGCCGGGCAGTTTATTGTGCGACAGAGTACGCGTATGCAGTCGTAAAAATTGAGCTTTGCACGGACATGCTCTGCAGGCATCCACTTCGACTCGAATCCGGTATACTGGAGGCTTAACTCACTCTCTCTAACTTACTCTCTAACTCACTCACTCACTCTAACTCGCTCTATCTCACTCGCTCTCTAACTCACTAACTCGCTCTCTAACTCTCGCTCATTCACTCACTCACTCTAACTCTTGCTCGCTCACTCACTCACGCATGCTCTCTTTTTTTTTTTTTTTTTTTTGATGGCCTCCCTTCTCCCCTTACAGCCATCCTCTCCACACCATTATTATGAAATAGTTATTCTAGTGACTATCTAGTGTAGGTTTTTATTTTTTTTTATTTTTTAATAGGATAGAAAGAAAGAAAAGACAAAGTAAGACTCCAAAATATAAGAAATATACACAAAGATAGCACACGGCAAAACACCCGGCCACTGTCTGTTCACCTGCAAAGAAC